TCACTGCGACACTAGTGGAATGGAAAATCCTGCCCCATGGCTGCTTCATCCTGGTTTCCCTATGCTCCCTCCTCTCAGGAAGAAAAAAACCTTCAGGATGCCCAGGCCCTGAGGAGAGCCCATGCTCTCCTTGTGAGCCAGATCTGAGACACCTGCCAAGCAAGCAACTAACAGCCCCAAGCCCCTGGAGCATCCCTGCTCCATGTTGCTCCATCCTGGCACACACGGAGCCCATCAGTGCAGTGCTGGGCAGCACATCCCCCTCCCAGCAGGGAAATGGTCCCATTCTCCAGGCACCCCCTGGTTTCATGGTCATTATCGAAATACTGAGATTTTTATTGATATCATTAATCTCGTGGCTCTCAGGAGGATGCAGGTGTTGTGCTAAACCTCACCTGAGAGCCCTGGACCAGCACCTTCCATGTTGTATGGAATCACAGAATCATAGAATGGTTTGGGTTGGAAGGGACCTTAAAGATCAACCAGTCCCACCCCCTGCACGGGCAGGGACACCTCCCACCAGCCCAGGCTGCTCCAAGCCCCATCCAACCTGCCCTTCAACACTGCCAGGGATGGGGCAGCCACAGCTTCCCTGGGCAACCTGGGCCAGGCTCTCACCACCCTCACAGCAAAGAATTCCTTCCTAATATCCAACCTAAATCTCCCTCTTCCAGTATTAATCCATTCCCACTTGTCCTCTCCCTCCCTGCCCTTGTCCCAAGCCCCTCCCCAGCTTTCCTGGAGCCCCTTCAGGCCCTGGAAGCTTCTCTAAGGTCTCCCTGGAGCCTTCTCTTCTCCAGGCTGAACACCCCAACTCTCCCAGCCTGGCTCCAGAGCAGAGCTGCTCCAGCCCTCCCATCATCTCTGTGGCCTCCTCTGGACTTGCTCCATGTCCTTCTTATGCTGGGGGCTCCAGAACTAGACAACTAGACACAGTTCTCCAGATGGGGTCTTATGAGAGCAGAGTAAAGGGGAAGAATCACCTTCCTTGACCTGCTGGCCACATTGCTTTTGATGCAGCTCAGGACACAGCTGGTTTCTGGGCTTCAGGCACACGTTGCCAGCTCATAGGTGGCTTGTAGCTGTGCAAAGGGAAGGGGAAGGGACTGGGGTGATGCATGTCCCTGACCAAAGCTCTCACAGCTGGGAGGTGGCACCTGGCACCAGTCAGGGTAATCAGGACACATTTAATAATGATGCACACTGGGGAAGAGAGCAATAAGGAAGAAAGTTCTGGTGTGCTATTTGCCAGCTGGGAACAGAAGACATGGGCATCTCAAAGGCAGTGTTAAATGGCCCCAACTCCACCAGTCTTGCTGGAGTCAGAGTGGAAGGGAGGGCTGGGGCTGGTCCCTGCTGGGACAAGTAGCAGAAAGAGCTGGGGTGCATCTGGAAAGGGAATGGGAGGCAGGGGTGCAGCTCATCTGGAGACGTGGGACATGTCCAGAGCCACTGCCTGCACTTCCCATGGCCAGAGCTGGGTCACCTGGTGGTGCAGAGATTGAACGGCAGGAAATGAGACACTCTCTTCTGACCCTGAGTCCAGGTGTTTTCCTTTCTAAAGGCACAGGGAACACACTCACGATGGAGGTGATCTCATTCCACAAACACCAGTCACCCCAGTGATGTGGGACTGGCCTCCCAGAGTCCCCACACCAGCCTGGCAACCTCCTCCCATGTGTCACTGAGTCATTTCAAGGGCCACAGACAAACAAACACATGTGAAAAGCAGATCAAACAGGGGTGTGTGTGTACTCTAGCCATACTTCTCCCTACCAGATTTGTCCACCTGCCGTCAGAAAATTGAGACATTTCGGTCACTTTTTCAGTTACGAGCAAATAGCCCAGGCTGCTCTCACCAGAGCACATCCCTGAAGACAAACAGGGCTGGGGCTGGAGAGTCCCCAAGGGGAGCCCCAGGACAGGGGCTGCCCTATGGGCTGGGTCCTGCCAGGCACCACAACACCCTGAGACTCAACCCACCTTTTAACAACAGACACCCCTTTGGGTGGGATTATCTGGAGAAAACTGAGTTCTGGACTGGCTGTGGCTGGGAGCCAGGGTGCCCAGCTGGGACAGCATCTCCTGGGAGAGGTGCTGGGTGCTGCACATGGGGCAGGCACAGGGGGAAACATCCTTGTCCCTCCTGCAGTGCCACAGGGGAAGGAGAAAGGGCCAGTGCTCAGCCCTTTCATTTTGACAAGGTAAGAGCAAATGTTCTAATTAGTTCATTAAGGGTTTTGTGGGAACCCATGGGGGGAGCAGGTGTGGGTGCAAGAGGTGCTGTGTGTGGTGCTGTGTGCCAGGGGTGCCATGCAAGTTTGGGAGATGTTCTCCAGAGACCCTTTTTCCTGGTCCTGTTGGGCTCACAGGCTCTGCTTCCCCCAACTTGCCCTGCCCCCTCCCAGCCCTGGAGGTTCTGCAGGGAGAATTTTGTCAACAAAATTATTAAGCCATTACCCGTGACTTGGCTCAGGAATATCTAATGTAAACTGAAGGAGTATTACCTTTTATTGTTGTTTTTTAGTTGAAGTATTAATAGATAAAACTACCCCTGCCAGCAAAGCCTCTGTCCTGGCTCTCACCTCTGCATTTGTCCTTGTCCACCCGTGAGGTCTGCAGGAAAAGGACAGAGGTGCAGGCAGTCCTCACTCTGTTCTGTTGGGGGGACAAGTCTTCCTTGCTCAGGACAGCCCTGGCCCTGCTGCTGTGCAGCCAGTGAGGGATTTTCAGAGCTGGGAAGGCAGTAGATACTCCAGGTGCTCATACACCAACTTCCAGCAAAGCTGGAAGCCCAAAGACCATGTGCTGTGTGGAGCTGGGAATGCAGGAATGGTGGCACCTCTGGACTCCAGGCACCCACCGCACCAGCACACGGGCCAGGGCAAAGGAGATTGCCATGGGGTGAGGGACTGGCTGGAGGTCTGAGCCCCAGCTGGCAGTGGGCACCCAGCAGAGCCCTGGGGCTGCTGCTCCCCCGTTTCATGGGGTGACATTTCAGTGCAAAACCTCTGAAACCCTCATCCCTCCAGCCACAGGGAAGGGGCTCTGAGGGGGTCCTGCAGCAGGGGCTCCAGGCAGGCATTTCCCTGCTGGCACTGCTGTGTGTGACTCAGCTGTGACAACAGAACTGGATCTTTCTCTGGAGATCACCCTGTGATCACCTGCAGCCTCCTGGAGCTGAGTCAACAAGAAGCAGCTTCACCCAGGGACAGCAGATCCCCGTGTCCACCAGCCCCCCCTGTGCCATAAGGGGCTGCCAGGGCTGGGTGGGATCCCTGCCTGTGCTGCCAGGTCCCAAACACGACCCTGGAGCAGTGGGAGCTGTGGGCAGAGCTGGGGCTGTGAGGAGCCGAGTGCTCCCTGCTCCCTGACTCTCCTTGGAGAGTGTGTCTGCAGGGACCCTGAGCTCAGGAGCAGCTCAAAGCTGAGTGACACATGGGGCAGGGGTGACCCATCTTGGCCCTCTTGGCTTCTCATGTCTCCTAAGGCAAAGCTCAGTGAGTGGACTGAGACCTCCCAGCAGGGCCATCCCCCTGCTCTGGTGTGATTTTACCAGACATTAGGAAGAAATTCTTGGGTGTGAGGGTGGTGAGAGCCTGGCCCAGG